TCTTTCCCCTCCCTCCCTCCCTCCTTCCTTCCTTCTTTCCCTTTCCTTTCCTTCTTTGTCCTCCCTCCCTCCCTCCCTCCCTTCCTTCCTTCCTTCAATCCTGGACCCTCTCTCCCTGAGCAGTCTCATTTAAAAATGTTTTGCTTTGAATTTCCTAATTTTCTGAGTTTGAGACCAGCAGGCAATTAAAGGTAATGAGAGAGAGTCCAAGCCACTAAACTTCCCTCCAGTCTAACCTAAACCTCTCGATTTTTCAGCAGCTAGAAAACAGCCTGGATTAGTACATTCATACCAGAGAGGAAAAAAACCCAAAAAACAAAAAACTTTGCTCTTGAGGTTTCTGTTTTGTTTTTGTTTTGTCTATTTTTTATATGGCATGTTCTCAAAGGTGATCAATATTACTGAGATTGAACACTAACCCTGTGAGTTTTTCATCTTTTCAAAAATTATTCACTTAATAAAGAATAGTGGGAGAAAAATCAACGTAATTGCAGTACAGTAGAGACCCCGAATCTGCTCTGAATTGCCTGGTCAGGGCAATGTGCTTCCTCTGGAACTTGATTTTTAACCACTTCAAATGACTCTCCCTCCCACTATGAGAAACTCCCAGGTGTTGATAGTTAGCTACAGGGTGTTAATGTCATTAACTTTCTGTCAGCTCCTTTTGTCAATGTGTTAATGGTGCCCCTGCAGCTCAGTCCTCCCTGCCCTCCAGTTGGTGAGATGATTTAGCCAGCAGTCAATCAAAAAGCTAAGCTGATTTGCCGCAATAGACAGCTCTGCCATTGACAAAATCTATGTAAGTAAATGTAAGAAATTTGTCAACAGGATATAAGCAGTAAGGTCAACACTGTGGGTAACGTGTTTTTTAGACAGTTTAAGATGTTAAGAATGGACCACAACGCATATTCTAAAGTCTAAGAAGCCCTCTTTTAAGAATGGTTTTTCCCGTTGGAAAAAGCAAGGAGCAGTAAGTAAAAGTGATGCTTAGATTTCAAAGAAAGAAAGAAAAACTGTTTCATAGTCACATGATTGGTCAAAAGACAAAAGCTGAAAAAATCAGAATTCACATATAATGTCAAGTCCATGAGAACAAGCCTCAGGGAATTCCCTGGTGGTCCAGTGGTTAGGACTCCTCATTTTCACTGCCTAGGGCCCAGGTTCAATTCCTGGTCAAGGAACTAGGATCCCACAAGCCACGTAGTGTGGCCAAAACAAAACAAAACAAAACAAGAATGAGCCTGAGGATTGGCACGCAGACCACTCACAGTGCTCCCTCTCACCCTTCCTTATCACGGGTTATTTTTCAAAACTGAAACGATGTGATTCTGAACCTCATCCTACTAATTTTTGCAATAGGTGCCAAACACAGACAGAGACTACAGAATTCCTGGTAACCTTAAAAGATAAAAAGAGATGACCCCTCGAAATTAATGAATTTAAAACAATGCGGCCATGACAAATAACTTTATGGGTTGTTATCCTGAGACAATTTGAGCTCACTACAATGACAAAGGGACAACTGTGATCAATTTCATCACCAGGTATGGAAAATACTCTTCATTTAATGAATAGGACCATTTTTTCAAAGCTCAAGTATGTAAAATTAGGCAGTGTCTGATACATAGTAAACATTCAAATAATGAGTGAATATTATCATCACTTTTATAACTTACCAAAAAAGGAATATAGATTCTATTTGAATTCACTGTACAAACAATTGAACTTAAAACTTCCCCAATATTATTATGATGAGCATACTGGCATGAAGAATACAAAGAACTTTGCTTTTTAAAAAAATCAGAATAATAGCAAATTCCCACACGTGGTATCCAGATTTTTGAACCATGTGTGTTTCAATATATATGGTGCTATTGTATCCATTATAGACCAACCCCTTTCATCCTAGAACCTCTCTACTATGATTTATGAGAGAATTTTCTCCATTTCTCCCTGTTTTGTAGTCTTACAAAATTAATATTGCTTATTTTACTCTTTCCATTTTTTTTTTTTTTTTTTTGAGTTGGTACAAGCAACCAGTTTGGGGTAGAGAAAGGGAAGCAGAGGTGACAAGCTTCATTCAAAAGCCACTGACTATTGCTTAGGGGGCAGGAAATAGCCTGGGCCACTCCATTCATAGGAGAGGTATCATTCTCTTTTTTTTGGTTAATTTTTTTGACATTTACTTTTAAAAGGTGTGGATTATCTTTTCTAAAATTGATTACACTTTACATGCTCTGAAAAGGTGATTCAATGTGACTCAAGTTCCTGTGAAAATTTATATGAAGAAAAGTTTTATAACTACAAGCACAGCCTACTACTCTTTCAACAATATCCCCTGTGATGTGTTAAGTCAAAGTAGGATCTTGGACCAGATGATCTCCACTGTCTCTATAGCTATAATATTCTGTGATTCAATATACACTTACTGAGCGCCTTCATGTTGCTAGGTGCTGTGCATTGGGATGGGCATATAGAAATTAACACACTAGACCTGATCTTGGCCACGGGGCAGCAAGACAGAGAAGCAGGTAAATGCCAGACTGTCAGCAACTTGTGGTCAAATCTTCTATCTCGTGCACTGTTGAATTTCCATGGCCTGTCAATGCCGAGCATATTATGAGTTCAATTAATACTGTGAAAGAGTAAGGGTGAACATAGGATGCTATGGGACTTAGCCCAACCTGGAGATTTGGTGAAGATTCAACCTGCATATTCACTTGCCCTTGGCCATCATGCCACTGCTGCTAACTATAGCACTGATGCCCTTCTGAAAGCCCAGAGGAGTGGCACTGCTATTCAGTTTTTGAACTCACAGTCCTTATAGAGAGATTACCGTTTAAGTAGGTAGGGTTATTTTCAAGGGGAAACTACCCCCATACTTGTGCCCATAGTTATTCAATTTAAAAGGCCAGTGCCTGAAGCAAAAGAATTTATTGGCAGGGGACAGAAACATTGGAAAGATCATCCAGTACAAAGAATCCTATACTAGAAATAGGATCATGGCTCTAATTTTAAAACAGAATCAAGTATCCCACAAGAAAATATTCCTCTCTTTTGGAATTGCCAGAAGAGTAGAAAAAATATTAAGAAGGCACCAGAATTCATATATCATAGTATGATTAAACATTTTGTTTGCCATTTTCTAGAAGATACAAACTCTCATTTGGTGTCCAAAGAGTCTCCCGAAGCAAGAATAATTTGAGCTACAGTTCTATCACTGTAATTCATTAATTTGGAGTTTTTAGACAACTCAACACAATAGTCTTTTTCTCTAAAATAAATTGCTGTGTATTTTATTTTGCTTTTTAAAATATGATATGCAAAGTAACAGCCCCATACATTTTAATACAGTTTTCAATCCCCTTGTGGACAAACAGTCACACTTCAGTGTCACTTAAATGAAGAATAACCATTCATCTGTAACACACAGATACAGAAGGCTCTGGATTTTCATTTTAAAGTGCTTAATTACCTGCATAAAGAGAGAAATAAAATAGAGCCCAGGCCAAGTTCATGAGGGTTTGAAATTACTTTTCTTTTTCTAAATGAGCAACAAAGACCCTCAATGTTGTATGCTGTCGTGTGGCCACAAGCCAACTGTAAAAGAAAATGTTAAAAAGAACAAGGGAATCAGGAATTAAATTCAAATATGTGAGGCAAGAATCAAAATCAAAAGTTGAAAAATGTAGGTGGTGCTTGCAGCCACAGGACAATATAACAAATTTGAAAGAAAAATCTAATCAGCAACAAAGTTAAATCTTCACATTAAATATCCTGATGTGGACAGGTACATAATCCAAGGTTATTTTTGAGTATTTCCTGCCTCCAGTCACCCACAAACTTATGTTCCCAATATTCCTATTTATATAACTACTCACCATCACTAAAGGACCACACAAAATACAGTATTAATTCATGAACCAAAAGAGTGAAAATAATTGTTCTTTCACATAAACCTAAATTGCCATTCTCAAGTAATTCAAGTTCAGGACCATAACTTCCAAGTTGGGCAGGAAAGAAAGCATATCAGAGAAGAAAAAGGCAATAGATTTAACCTTGAAACAAGGTGACTACCATATAGTTGTTGAAGGAATTTACTTATTATCAGATAAAGAATTTACAGTATTTATTCCCTCTTGAGATATAAAATGGTGAATCAATCTGCAGTTCAAGATATTTATTTAAACCCAGAAGAGTAGGATATGGCTTTAACTTTTGAAAACCAAAATAGAAAAAAAAAAAAAAATCAGCTCTAATGTAGTTTATCTTTAGACAACAGATTTAACATTAAACAATTCAAGCTAAATATCATTTCTCAAGTTTTCCTTTCATATATTTCTATAATTTATATGAATATACTATATGTAAAATAGGGATTTAAAAACATTTAGGTAGCAGGCAATGCCTAACGTTATACAGATAGCTATTACAATTTACTTAAATACATAATCTACTGATCAATTAATCTATTTGTCCATGCATGCATCCATTTTATTCTTCATAACCTTTCAGTCTACTGATACCAGTTATCCTCTGATTGCCCTTGAAAATGCACATATCGCCTCAGAAAATACCTGCACACACACACAAAAAGAAAAAAACCTCTGAGCAAAAAAATTCTTCCGTTGATCATTTCCTTTAAACAATAAGGAGATTCTTTGTTTTGTTTTAGGTCACATCAAGCCTCAAAAGACTTACCTTGCATATCTTGTGGGCCTTCAAATGAAATTTGTCTTTGAGAAATGGCATTTTTTCTTATATAATTGTTCCCTTGCCTACCCTACGATTCAAAACGTCATGAACTAAAATTTATGCTGGTAATATAAAAACAGCCTATATACAAATGTATCCAAACTGTGAATAGAGTGGCAAGTTTAGAACTAACCACAAGGTAAATAGGTATATGGACAGACAGACACACACACACACACACACACACACACACACACAGAGAGAAACTAACAAATAAACAAAGTGCTTAAATAAATAAAGGATATCGTCAGCTTTTCCACAAACTTATCACGTTGATTTTCTGTTTTGGGGAATTGCTTGATGTCACGTTCCAGATGAACAATTTGTTGTTCCATTGCTGCAAGGTTGCTCTTGAGAATTTGAGCTGAAACTAAAGAACAACGTGCAAAGTGTTTAGAACATTTCTTTTACAACTAAAAGAAAACAGTATCAGTTCAAGTATTTTTTTAATGTGGAGAATAGTTCCATGAAATCAACTCACATTTTTCTGAATTACTACTCATAAAAATTCTACTCTCCATGAAATAAATGAAAATGTGTAATATAATATACCAAATCATCATGTTTAATATGGCAACACCATCATTTTATTCAGCCATTAGCTCAAATGAATCCATTTCTATTTAAATTTATTGATGGAATTCCTAATATTTCATTCTTTAAAATCTAATTTGAAGATTAAAGAGAAGCTAACATTCAAAGAGATCCTATCTTATTAATGTGTGTTCTTGGCTATATAAATGATTTAAAGTTAAATTACACAAAAGGATCAAATATTTTTCTCTTGTTGAAAGATCCTGATTTTTATAAACCAATATCTATGGTAAAAGTTCCTGACTTTAGTACTTTTCATACTCATAGAGAAATGATAAATAACTGTTGATACAGAGAATTTAGAGCAAACCAGAGCAAACATGTGTGTGCATACATACCCACAAAGCTTCAGTGAGCCCTCAAACACTATTTAGTTGCTTTAATTACCCCTAACATTCTCTGCACTTTTCTTTTTCTCTCCTCATTGACAACCAATAATCTTAAGTATTGTATTCAAACTACTCTTAAATACGTGCACACTTTCCAGATCTCTCACGATGCTTTCTTTTCACAGAGGTACTTTTTTTTTAAGCTGACACTAGTTTATAGATACCCTATTACTCTATGACTGCCAATTATGTATGAAGACACTTCTATCAATATCAACGGCATTTGGCAGGGTTCTAGTTGAAAAGGCAAGGTAACTATTAGAATTTGATAGGTAGCCCGTGACATTGATTTTTTTTTTTTTTTTGCGGTATACGGGCCTCTCACTGTTGTGGCCTCTTCCGTTGCGGAGCACAGGCTCCGGATGCGCAGGCTCAGCGGCCATGGCTCACGGGCCCAGCCGCTCCGCGGCATGTGGGATCTTCCCGGACCGGGGCACGAACGCGTGTCCCCTGAATCAGCAGGCGGACTCTCATCCACTGCGCCACCAGGGAAGCCCCCGTGACGTTGATTTTTAAATCCAGGTCTCTGAAACAGTTCTTTTCATTAAAGGACCATGAAACAGCAATAGGATAATATTACAATTTTTTTTTTTAAGTAAATTTCAGTCTCATTCAGAGGCATATCAGAATTACAATGAAAAATTCAAGAGACTGACAAAAATCAACCTCCTGGCAAATTTCAGCCAAAGTCTTCTGATACAAATTCATCACGCTGACACGTACACCTTTATAACTCAATGAGGAGAAATCGCTTAAATATACCTGGAAGTTCAAGAGACTGAAAATCAAACATCAACACTAAAGACAAATTTTTTTTTTTTTCCCCTATTACTCTGTCAGTTCAAATAGCTATGTCCAATTTAGTTCCATTTGTTTAGATCTGACAAGCTTGGAAATTATTCTTTATCGGAGAAGTCGAAGAGAGTTTTGTCCTGCCATAAATGTGCTAATGGCTCAGCAATCATTGCTTGCTTTATTTAAAGGATGAGTTTGCTGTGGAGGTAACCATTCTCTCTGACTTTAAAGCTGAACTTTTCCACTTGGGTTTTTCCAGGAGATTCTTGCTAATTATTCAAAGGGTCTCTCCTTTCCCACTTGCTTGACTGAAAAACTGAAGATATGAAGTTGACAAGTTGTTTATGTCATATAGACTACACAGAAGAAATAAACTCACGACAACTTTCTGCAATAAACAAAATGTGCCCATAGGCGAGGTTTAAGTCACAATAGTAATCCTCCTGCGAAAAGCAATAGTCATTCCAGTAGTAAAAAAGGGGGTGATCATGAGGATCCTTCTGATTGTTCAACAGAGTAACAGCCTAATCAAGTTGCTATGCACACGAAAGTCTAGATAACTCAAATAATGAGACATTCTTTTTAATCCACTAAAATTGCTTTTACCCTAAAGTTGAATTTTGAATAAAACAATGTTTTCTAGACATCTGTCCTCCTCAGTTCCACCTGTCAAATCCTTAGTCCTCTGTAAATCCCTCTAGAGCTCTAGTCCAAATTCTCTACCATTTAGAGACACTTCTATTTGTTTAAGTGATCTTCCACTCACCACCTTCTGCTTTAAGTGAGAATTTTTTTTCATTTTTTGTATATAGAGTCTCTGCTATAAAACCTCCTGCTACTTAATGGTAAGATCCCTACTTAGTACTTGGCTTTCCCCTCAGTACTTATCACACATGGTACTCAATAAATGTTTGTTGAATGAATACGTATATTTCAAGAAATTTTGATTCAGATTTAAATGTTTTCCCACTTCTGCAACTGGATGTGCATGTAGAAGTTAGATACAACCGAAGTGATTGGAAGTTAGCATATCAATTATTATGTGAGTATGAAAGGAAGCAGGAAGTTGAAGGAGATGCTTAGACAAAGGGGAAAGTGAGAAACAGAGATAAGGAAGAGAAGTAAGGGACACCTTTTCTTTTTTTCAGCTTCTCTATTCTCCCTCTCTAGTAATTTATTAACATTATGAATGAACGAAAGAAAATAAAGTACTGGAGATGTAAGAAACCAAGGATGTTAGCCCACATGCAAACATATGGCTGCATTAAAAGTGCCCTGCACTTTGTTTACCGCTTTGTTGCCACCATTTTGAAAGTCTTAGTAATTTTTTAAATGAGGCTCTGCAATTTCATTTTGCACTAGGTCCCCCTAAACATGTAGTCAGTCCTGGTCCCCATGTAAGACAAATAAAGCAACTCCAACTTGGAAGAGCTGGTTAAAAGGGCTGGGAATTTCACCTGCTGGCTCCTTCTCATTTCTTATTCTCTCATTGGTGGAATTCTATTTCAAGGGGTGTTAATCTACAGTGTTGCATAAACTAGACCCGCAACAGGGGTTTCACTCTATCCCTAAGTGGCTTCGTTTTTGACAGTTGATATAATTAGAAAAATTTTATTTGCTTATAATTGAAACCAGCCTACTTGAACTCTTCTTACCCATTAGTCCTCATTTTGCCTTAAATCAACACTGCTCAAGTCTACTCTCTATTTTACAGGAAAGGTGTCACTTGCATCTTCTTAATCTGCCCAGCTTACAAACAGCTGGTTCCTTCAACTAGTCCTCCTAAGGTATAAGGGTTAGTCATTACTTATGCTCCTAAGTAATAACTAACATTTACTGAGTACTTACCATGTGCTAGATATTATTTTAAGTAGTTTTATGTATTAACTCTCACAAAAACTCTTATGAGGTATATACTACTCTCAAGAAGGGGTATAGTATGAGCTAAATGATGCCTTGTCAGGAAATTGTAAATATAAAGCAGTGTCTCTACTTCTGGAAGGCCAACGACTGGAAATAAAATCTGGGAAAGGGGGTGGGAGGATAGATAAATTAGGAGGTTGGGATTAACATATACACACTACTATATATAAAATAGATCACCAACAAGGACCTACTGTATAGCACAGGGAACTATACTCAGTATCTTGTAATAACCTATAAGGGAAATAACCTGAAAAAGAATATATGTGTGTGTGTGTGTGTGTGTGTGTGTGTGTGTAACTGAATCGCTGTGCTCTACACCTGAAACTAACACGATATTGTAAATCAACTATACTTCAATTAAAAAATTTTAAAAAATCCGTACTCATTGGCACAAGGGTATGTCACCTATACTTGGGGACAGGAGTCAGGGTCGACCTAGATTCTAACCTCTACCATATCCACTAATAGTTGGGTTACTTTGAGCCAGTCGCTTAGCCTCTCTGGGTCTTCATTTCCCAATTTGAAAAATAAAGATAATAATACCTTCCTTAAATGGTAGCCATTCAAGTTAAATAATTTGATTAATATAAAGTTTCTATCATTATAACAAGTACATAATAGGTAATCTATAAATATTCGCTTCATATTCTACTATCCTTCCCACTATATTCTACCAACAGACAAATTCCTACTGTAAACGTGCCACCAAAAACTAAACAACAATTTAGATGTAATCTGAACAAAAAAAGCAGTCATTCCTTACCTGCTACCTCACTGCGGCCTGATTTAATATCCGTCTTCTTTCTAATCAAGGGAACTAAGATTGGGTTCTCTGTTTGTAGGTTTTACAGGGTACATGGAATTTTACATCTGGGAGGCAGTGAAAGTTATACTAATGAACAGCCAATTTGTTAGAGATACTAGCAAGTTCCAAATTTAAAGAATATTTCTGGAGGGTTCCCTGGTGGCGCAGTGGTTGAGAGTCCGCCTGCCGATGCGGGGGACATGGGTTCGTGCCCCGGTCCGGGAAGATCCCACATGCCGCGGAGCGGCTGGGCCTGTGAGCCATGGCCGCTGAGCCTGCACGTCCGGAGCCTGTGCTCCGCGGCGGGAGAGGCCACAGCAGTGAGAGGCCCGCGTACCGCAAAAAAGGATATTTCTGGAAATTAAAATCTGCACAGTAGTATTTCTTTGGAGACATTTACAAGTTAGTTACTTTGCTTTTCTAGACATGTCTAAATCATAAGAGATTTTTTGTAAGTGTTCTAAAGAATTAACATGTGTTTACCTGCCTGATTATTTGCCTTGAATACATTTGTTTTAATCTTAAGAGTTAGGAGACAATTTGATTATGTAACTAGTTAGATCCTAGCCTACATTTCTTCTAATATGTCTTCAGGGTGTGTGTGTGCGTGCCTGCGTGCGTGTGTGTGTGAGAGAGAGGGAGAGAAAGAAAGACAGAAATATATATATATATATATATATATTTTTCACTCTATCCCTAAGTGGCTTCGTTTTTGACAGTTGATATAATTAGAAAAATTTTATTTGCTTATAATTGAAACCAGCCTACTTGAACTCTTCTTACCCATTAGTCCTCATTTTGCCTTAAATCAACACTGCTCAAGTCTACTCTCTATTTTACAGGAAAGGTGTCACTTGCATC